GTGGGGGGCGGCCGCGGCCCCCGCGGTTGGCGGGGGGCGGGGGGGGGGCCGAGCCAGACGGCCTCCCCCAGCGCCCCACGCGCAGGCGGGGAGCGGGGCCTCCCCAAACTGCTTGTCCTTTCCTCCGCCACTCGCCCAGCGCGTGGCCGTTTACTCGAACCAAGCCCGACTTCGCTGAAGTTCCTGCGTCCGTCAAAAAGAAGAAAAAAAAAAAAAAAAAAAGAAGAAAGAAACGGAAACAAACCCACAGCGTCACTTGCTTTTGAGTCTATAACTAGTTTGAAAATGGGGATCAACTCTACAGACTCTGAACCGTCGCTGTCAGAAGAAGCAGAAGACAATTTCAAGAGCAGTGGGCTGAGGAGGAAGTTAATTTTTTTTTTTTTTTTTTTTTTCTGTTGCTTCTTTGTCTCTTAAGTTAATTTAAAGTGAGTCTCGGTGCAGAGTGCTGAGTCGTCAGTCTTTGACCGTCATCTTCAGTGTTACCGAATTCTGCTCTTCCTTTAGGCCCCCACCCCGCGTCCCCGGTGGGTTCCTCCCCCGTCGTTAAGGCCTGTGGTGAGGAGTGGCGCGGTCTCCGGTACGGTGAGAAGTGCTGGGGTGCGTGCGGGGGGCGGGAGGGAGGACACGCGTTTACACTTCATTTTACGATGCACTTTTGCTAGCAATACGGGCGGCGGCTGGGCCTGCCGGGAACAGGTCGGTGACTCCCGGGGGACGCGGGGACAAGGACAGCCGGGCACCGGCCACTGCCAGGGCCACCTGGCCAGGACCAGAGGGAGCCGTGAAGGGAGGTGGCAGAGCGCGGTGGAAAGCCAAGCAGCCCCATCTCTGGCGCTGGGATGGCGTAGGGCTGGGTGTGCTTCCACCGCAGCTTTAGGTATTTGCCGCAGCGTTTTATCGGCCTCTGTGGTTTTACAGACCGTTCGCCGCGGGTCTGAGCCCCCGAGGGCCCCGGGGCGGCAGCGGGCGCAGGGTGGGCCGTGGCGGGCGGCACCGCGGGCAGCATGCAGGTACGCGGTGAGCGTGGCCGGACAGCGAAGGGCGTCGGGGTGGTCCGGCGCTGCCGGTGTGGCATCCTCCCGCTGATCCTGCGGCGGGGGAAACTGGATTATTTTTGCCACTTACACATGGACACACGGACACACGGACACACGCTCTCCCTGCTCCTCACCACCCCAGGGCACTGCAGCTTTCCCACGTGCCTGAACCCGTGCGCTGTTGTGTGTA